CGGCGGGTCCATCTTAAAGCCAGCTGGCATTTGCTATATCCGACATAGGGGAAATTTCTAGCAACTTCATACAGAAGCCACCCCTGTAACCCCCCTGCTACCAAAACCTTGCCACGCAGACCTGTTACAGCTCCTGAAGGCAAACCCATCATATTCTAGTTTGGAAGAAGCTTTGAATCAAGCCAAGTCATCAACCTACCCTGTTACAACTTTGTGTATGAATAGCTTGACCACTTGAGAAGACAACATATTTTCCACAGCCTAAAACTAAAAGAGGAAAACACCCTTTGATGAAAGTCATCATTTAGTAGGCATATTAGGAGACAGTTTCTTCTGCTTTATCATCATTACTGTATTTGAATAAAGAGTTACACAATACTTATGATGGTTTAAAATGTATTAAGATGCGAAACTGGAAAAAAGAGCATTACAGGAATCATCATCTCCCTGTAGGCAATGGATTTTTGGCCAAATATGGTGCGTAAAAACCAGTGTAAAATGAGAAAAATTATATGGAAAATAAGTAAATATTCTGCAATGGGCCAAAAGGAGACTGTTCAAGTAATCAAACCAATCTTTCCTCAGCTCAGTCAGCATTTTCATTAAGATGAGCACTGACAGGAAGAAGTCACCTTTTGTTACTGTCCCATTTTAGACTGTATAAGCAAAGGACAAGAATTTATTCCTATCTGAATGCATGGTGAGACAGTTCATATCCCATATGCCCTACAGAATAAATTCTCAGACAGATCAAGTCTGCAGTTAGATATAGCTATCAAGGAATGAGAAGACATCACAGTTGCAGTGGTACAAGATCCTGTGGTGTCCAAGCTGTTGTAAAATAAAGAGGTCTAGCAGCCTAGGAAAGTGTATACATCTCAAACAATACACTTCCTCTACATTTGGGGGGAAAAAAAAATAAATCAAAAATCTTCTTATTTTACAGTCTTTTACAGTAATAATTGGAATTACAGTGAAAAATTAGTGTCAAGACGCTATAATCCACAGCCAGAGAGTGAAGAAGTTCACAGTGCTGTCACTGAGAAGAATGAGGCAGCTGGCACCTCTCATAGCTATTGCTTTCAGCTGCCTAGAGATCTAAGTTCACCTTTTTGTACTATCTGACATTTTTAGATTATCTTTATTACTAGAGATGATCAAAACCCACAGAGTAAATTGAAATAGTAAGAAATACACAAAAAGGGAAAGCAGTTACTATCTTTAAGATGATCATTGATGAAGAGACATAAACCCTTGAAAATTCTGGTCTTAGATCCAGAAAACAGCAAATCATAGGTGGAAAATCTCCTATTTGGTATTAGAAACGCAATTTACATATCTTTCCTATTTATGTGAATTAAAAAATTCATTTTCCACAAGAAAGAGGCAAAACAGTGATTTCATAACTACATTCATATTAACAATCCAGCACATACTCAAAGACTCATGGTTAGATTTAGTATGTTAGATTTCTTGAAAACTGATGTTCAGCTTCTCTTTCTTGAAGAATATGGACTTATTCTCTTTACTTATATAAAAGAAATCACCATTGATCTATACAGACTGTACAAAACCTACCGTGACGCTAAATATGTACACTTCTGAGTGTAAGCTTACCTGCTTTGAGTTTGTTAGATAGAGTTTTGAGCCCAAATTTAAGATTTGCAACTTTACAAGGTCATCTTCGTTAGTGAAGCTCTTGGCTGTCTTTCTCAAAACATCAGGTGCAATCTTTGGAACCCGTTCACAATACTCGCCAATGAGCCAGAGAATGCTGGCTCTGGCTACTGGAACCTGAGAAAACATTGCACACTCAAGTTAACACATTCACAAAGACTTACTTGTACATGTCTGTGTTCAGTAAGAAGTTAAAACAAAATACTGTTTAAAGACAATTGCCATGCAAGAAATACAGACCCCAAATTAAATACTATTCAATACAGCCACTGTGGTAGACTGAATATTCATACAAATTTAAGATACAGAACCTACCCCAAAATCCACACATTACAAGTTGACAAGACACACAGAGCAGGAATTGAAACAGAGGCACACAGAAGTGACATGTTCATGTTCACAGTACAAGCTGGCAGCAGTTGGGAAGAGAATCCAAGCCTTCGAAGTGTGACCAGGATCTTGCCATCAGGTTATGCTAAAACACAATGCTGAAATAAAACTGTGGATTTTTTACTATTTTCATATAGAAATGGTCTTCTTCCCCAAACCCTGCCTATCTACTTTAAAAGCACAGGAATTTCTTCAATACTATTACTATCTTTCCTCCTTTTTTTTTTTTTTTTTTTTTTAAATTTTAGGACAGTAAGGTTCATATTTTTGTAAATGTCCAAGGTGAGCTGAACACAGAATTTTGGAGACACCCAAGTTCAGAATTAGGGTTCTCAATTTCTGAATAGTATCTAACCCCTCAACTGAAAACACTGACCAGAAACTTCACACAGGACTTGACTGTTTTAGAGCTACATGACTGTTTCACTGAAATAACTGGCAACAGCAGTTTTTAGATGAACTCCCAGTGCACGGTGCTGACTTCAAAAGCACAGTACTACCATAGATGGAGGGAAAACAAAACAGAAAAGCATAGAAGGAAACAGAAGCTCATGCTCCACACAGAGTTTAGCTAGAAGTAGTTAGGAGTTAAATGAAGTAACACACACACAGTGTTCTCTAAAGTGAGCTAGCCTATATTACCTGGTGGTCAAATTAAAAACAGCATCTGGGTTACATATCTCCATGAAAATATTGTTCTCCTTCCTTGAGAGGAAGGAAGAAAATATGTGCTGAGAAAATTCTTCTAGGCAGAATCATGCCTTGCATGGTGTCTACAGACTGTAGTGCTCTCACGTTCTGTACAGACTCTTGTTCAACAGATATTGAAATACTAGGGAAAAAGCGTAATTCTTCTATCCTATCAAATGACCAACTGTAGTTTAGAAAGAAGGAAAGCTTCCAACTGTAACTGCAATTTCAGCTCATTTTGCTAGTTTTTCTAAAAAAAAAAAAACCACCCTAAAAAAATTTGTACTAACATTTTCCATTACCCCCTACACTATACAGTGATCTTTTTTAATAAGCTTCCTCTTAAGCCACTGTGAGTTCTGCCTAAGGTAAGATTCACAAAAGAAACAAGCTTTAGAAATTCAGCATTGTGGTTCTCAAAGCATGAATTCTTAGCCTCTTTTATATATGTTTTAATTACTTTTCTAGCATATGTCATTTATTCATATATGAATATCTATTTCTCAGAATTACTATGGGAACCAACTATTTTTTGGTATCCTACCCTGTATATACACAAAATCTGAAAGTACTGCTTTCCAGTTACATTCATAAAAGGTAACATGCAAGTAAACTACCAAGGTTCAAGATAGCAATTCCCAAAGTGTGGTGCTCAGTCCCTAACAGCCCACTAAGAAATACTAATTATGTTCACAAGAAATGTTCACGATTAAACTGTTTTACTGCTCAAAAAAGTATAGGAACAGCTTTGAATAAAAATCTGACAGAATCTATACTTCACATTGTTGCAAATACTCCTGCTAACAAAAATGTAGAGAGGCATGTCATGGGGAAAACAGAGGATCACCTCTGCTGAAGCAGAAAGCAACCAGAACATGGAATAACAGAATAGAGGAGTCCAACAACAATGACAACAAATCCTTTCAAGAGATAAATGCCAATTCTAAACATGGAAAAGATGTTTAAGGTAGAGGTAACATAATGTATTAAGAGTGGTATAACACAGTGATTTAACGTACATAAACATACGTAAACACTGATTAAGACACATATGATTTCTTCTTTTGTGAATTGACAAAAAATTTAAATGGTCTTGGAACTTAATAGTGTGAGAAAGGGGAACAAGCTACTGAACAACTACTAAATTTAAAAACTTTAAATGCAGTGAGCACATGTTCGCCTGCAAAATTGTAAGACTGATGCCATTACTGTACACTGATTTCAGAAAGGAGAGAGGTTATTTCTAATGTTCCAAAGGTTTCACTGCATTAAGACCTCACTCCCAATCTATTATTTTAAATTGTGCTAAAGAATAGTAATTGAGTGGTACATTAAATTTTCCAGTATTTCAGCAGTTCAAGTTGCCTGCTGTACAGATAGGTATCCCTAAATAAGAATATATAGGCAACTTCAAATTTCAGTTATGCTAGATTTATTTTTCTAAAATATTTCATTAAAGACTTGTTAAAATATTAGAATTCTACAAGAGATCACCAAGTACCACATTTTGGCCAGCAGCCTATTAGAAACATCCCTTTTACTATCATTGTCTTTTCATAATGCAAAAACAGCTCACAGAGCAGACCAATTTCAGCAATAGCATTAATTAGGAAAGACAAACATCAGTATTGTACTTTTCCTAGCCAAATCCAGGACTACACTTTAAAGCCACAATGAGATATATTTAAATCTATTTAAACAGTGCATTTAAGCACAGCGTTTTACTCTTCAAACTTTCTTCCCAATTTGTAAAATGTAATTATTAGAGTAATAAACTAGCTTTAGAATGTAAAATAAATAGACTACACAAAGCCTAATGTGAAAAACAGTGGCAATGTAAGACAGATGAAATTTCTTGAGAGACTCTGCCTTTCAACTAGGGGGTTAGCTTACTGTGTAAATATTGTATATATTAAACACAATTTTGTGCAACAAGAATCAATATCAATTAGAAACTTTTTGAATCAAACCCTGGGTAGAAGCTGTTTTAATGAAAAGTGTATGTCAAACTGATGAACCCAATGTTTCTGTGTCACTGGATTCATTTGGGGTCAAAATCACGCAATATTTTCAGACTTCTTTTTCCCTGTTTAAGTCTTCCAGTCCTCAACCATGTAATATCAAGTGCATGATCCCGCAGCCGTTGTTTCCAGGGCATTCAAACAGCAAACAAGAAATAAAGCCACTTCTAGACCTTCATTGCCTTTTCCAGTATAGCTTAAGTAGAGACCTTGAATTGACAAAAATGCAGGAAATAATACTTTCATTATTCAGTCCTGCTCTGCATTATCCTCAAAGGCAAACAGGATTGTAAATTACTTTGCCTGATGTTTTATTCCATATGCCCTGAGCAAGTGGTTAAGTGCACTTTTTAAGCCTTAGCACCAGAAGGCTGCTTCTACTGCCATTTTAATCCATTTCCTGTTTGGTGGAAAATAAATAAATTGTTAAAAAATAAAGCCCAGTCAGACCCTCTCCCCTCAAAGCAAGACTCTGATTACTTACACCAGTTACAGAAAGCCATTATGAAGATTTTACAGTTCATTCTAAGCAGCACAATTTAAAAACTATTGTAGTTCAGCTCTAACCTTACTACACAACATACTAGGCTAGAGTACAACTTAAAATTGCCAGTTCTGGTTATCCACACTTGTCACAAAATGAAGAGATATTCAAATTGCAAATGAGGTCTAATTTCTGCATCCAGAATAAAATTTGCATAGGTAGCAATTTTTAAAATTTTACTTGGAATCAGAAATAGAAGGAGGGATGAAGTTGATGTGAAATGTCAGACTAGCAGCAAGAAAAAACGGTACACAGGAAAGAACAGGAGTAAAAGATAAGTGTTTTTTTGTTTTCAAATGGTAGACCTTCAAGGACTCCTCCATTATTTGAACATCTACACATAAAATCCCTTTAAAAAGGGATCTCCACTGATGACTCTTATATAGTTCATTTACATTGTTTTTTATTCAAGCTGAATATTTATTTCAGTAAGTTCAGTGTACAGTTTCCCAGGACACATTGCCCGAAAGGCCATATATTCCTCTCAAATTCTAAAACGTTACATAGATACTAGAGGAAGTAAAAATATCATCAAATTATGAGAGTTGTTCATTAAGGCATTATTTACACAAAGGTTCAAAAATCACAGAATCATAGACTGGTTTGGGTTGAAAGGGACCTTGAAAATCACTTAGTTCCAACCCCCCTCCCATGGGCAGGGACACCTTCCACTAGACCAGGTTGCTCAAAGCCCCATCCAGCCTGGCCTTGAACACTGCCAGGGAGGGGGCAGCCACAGCTTCTTTGGGCAATCTGTGCCAGTGCCTCACCATCCTGATTATAAAGAATTTCTTCCTAATATCTAATCCAAATCTACCCTCTTTCAGTTTGAAATCATTACCTCTCATCCTATCGCTACACTCCCTGATAAGGAGTCCCTCCCCATCTTTCCTGAAGGCCCCCTTGAAGTACTGGAAGGCCGCTATAAGGTCTCCATGGAGCCTTCTCTTCTCCAGGCTGAACAGCTCCAACTCTCTCAGCCTGTCCTCACAGGGGAGGTGCTCCAGCCCCCTGATCATCTTCATGGCCCTCGTCTGGACCTGCTCGAGAAGGTCCATGTCTTTCTTATGCTGGGGGCCCCAGAACCGGATGCAATTCTCCAGATGGGGTAAAAAATACATTATTAAAGTGTATCCTAGGGAAAAGAATGTGGCTAGAATCTGAAGCCTGCAGAACCGAGATACGTATGAACTTAGGAATGTCACAGATTGTGATAGCTTCCCAACATTGAGTGAAAGAATAACTTAATTAAAGAAAGCAGGCCACCTCTGCTGTGAAACCATATCAGAAACATAGCAATAAGCAGTATTTACGTTAGAATACTGCAGATGAACTTCAGTTTGTTATTGCTGGATGGATGGACAGAGCAGTGTCAAAATCTCCGAGTCACCTACTCTAGTAGTTAGAATCCCAACCCAAACCAGTAATTAGAAATTTTTAATTGCTTCCATAAGTGATATGTTTTCCCCCACATACTAAGCTCTTTAAAGTTATATGCAATTATCTTATTTTTCCTCTAAATTTGCAACTCCTTATTCTGTCTTTATCCGATCAAGAAATGTTCCTCCTCATCCCTAGATTAGAAAACACTTCAGACTTCTCTATATTCTCACTCATTCTAGAAGAAACTAGGAATAAATCTGAAATGAAAACCAAGGATGTCAGAACTCACCAGCTATCAAAAGCAAAAAACCTGCCTTAATACTACTATAAGAGAAAGTCTGGAGAAAAATCACACCAGAACTACAGGGTTCTCATCACCCAGAAAGGCATCACTACTGGGTACAATGTACCATCATAAATTATTTTTCTAAAAAGGCAGAAACTAATTTGGAGACTACTGCAGCTTGTTTATATGGGGAAATACACAAATGCAGAACACTTTCAAGACATTCTCACTCAGAGCTAATTCTTGCTAGGCTGATTTAAATTAATTCATTGCTAAAATGAACTAAAATAAATCAAAAGAGGCATACTTCAGATGTATATAAAAGCATCTCATGTTAATCTGGTTTACTCAGTGCAGTCTAACCAATGCACTTTAAAACTTAATTCAGATTAAATTTGCAAGTATTTGCACTTAGACAAACTCTGGACCAGTGTTTTGAGGGAAAGATTTTCTAAAAGAGTAGACTATACACCTATATGACATGTATTTGACGAGAGAATATTCTAAAAGCATTTTCAAAAGCCTCTCAACAAGATCTTTGATAACATCATCCTTAAAGGGTGGAAAGGTTCTGTCATGAATAAAAAAGGATTAGATACTAGAAAAGACAAACCCAGTTACAACTGAAGGCAATCATCAAATATCCCACAGGGACCTACAGGGGAAAACGTGCTGTTCAACAGATTTGCAAGTAACCTAGAAGAGGCTATCTGGTGAGGAGACAATCTGCTGACACAAAATTATTCAAGGTAATCTAAACTGAAATAGAGTCTGAACAGTTGAAGATGAATTAATTATTAGTGATACTTTAAAAGTGGGCCGAAGTGATGCAGCTGGCCTTGAAGCAGTAATAACAGGACTTCAAAAAAAAATTCTACACATATACTGATGGACCCAAACTATATCTAGGGAAAAATATCTTGGAACCACAAATATTTTCAGAGAATTGTTAAGTCTATGTTCTGCAGAAGTTAAAAGGCAGACAAGAAAGTGAGATCAAAAATACAAAACAAGGAATATCATTCATAATGATACACATAAAATTTCTCCTTCATATCCTGACTACTGTGCACACTTCTGGTCATCCATTTCAAAAACCACAGAAGTATCAAGAAAGACAAAGAGAAGACAGAAAGGCTTATCAGAGATACGGAATATCAGGAGAGATAAGAATTTTTAGATTAGTAAGTGTGATGATGTGGATAGCAAACTCAAGCTTCCAGTCAGCGTCTAAAAAGGTACATTGGAGGTGCATCACAATGAAATTGTTCTTACCTTTAAATTCCTCTCCCTAAAGCACCAGGTTTTGGTGCTGCTGAGATACTCTACTAAGAGGTCTTTTGGACCCAATCAGTATCATCCTTCTTTAAATAGCCCTTTCCTACATGCATACTTTTAAAACTCCTGTCACTCTAAAAACTATACACACAAAGCTAATTAAGCCTCCTTCAGAGTGAACACCTAGCACAACTTAGATCTCTGGCCTACAACTTACTAAATCACTACATTGTAAAGCATGACAACGTTATTAACACATTAACAGCCAATTGAAAACATATTTATGATTCTGAAAACAGAATCTTGTTTAATATCCTCAGAACACCCTCAGACATGCATTTCTCAGTTACAACTTTGAAGTGTGGAGGAAAGGAGCTGGAACGCAGCTACATCAACCAGTACTATGCACAGGTCTAGGTACTCAACAAATATCAGACACAAAATAGACCTCATAAATCTTTGTCTGGGCACACCTGAGATAAAACTTTAAGGTACAAAAGATAACATACAAAAGCAAACAAAGAAAAATAAGTACTCTTTTCAGATATGTAAGAAACAATCAATGAAATGGATCTAGTCCTGAGCTTTACTGTAAATGAGAGCCAGTGGTTTACAAGAGCTTGGTAGCTTTTAACTGAACTTCCTACTATTTCTTACAGTTGGTCAGATATATTTAGCTCACTATTTATCCTATCACTTTCTAAATGGCTTCTGTAGATGAAGAAGACGAAGACAAGGGTGATGACAAGAATGAGTAAATTTCAGATTGGATGACCTGAAAGAAACATTGCTACAAAAGATTTTTAGGCACCTCATTATTGACAACCACAATTTCAGGCTAACACAAGTTAAATTTATAACAATATGCACAAAATAAATTCAAGCACTAGCCCAAGATGTGTTGCATCCAGTTTACACCGATTTTGTTTATTTTAATGGCTAAGTGTTCACCATCCACCGAAACTAAATCATGACAGAACAATCAAAAAGTTTATTTTTACCTTAAGTGCTTTTCTTTTTAATTGTATTTAATTCTCTTCATGCTGTCATAGAATCATAGAACAGTTTCAGTTGTAAGAGACCTTCAAGATCATCAAGTCCAACCTTTGTCCTAGCTCTATCAACACCACTAAACCATGTCCCTAAGTACATCTACCCGTCTCTTAAACACCTCCAGGGATGGTGACTCCACCACCTCCCTGGGCATTGCAGTTGTGTTTTACATAGCATGAAATTAATTTCACCTCTAAGAAGCACCAAAGAATTTCTTTGCCCACACTTCCCAACCCATCAGTTACTTTCAAGTTCATTCAAGACCATATGATTTGGCTGCTTCTCCTATGTCCAAATGCGAGAGTCCTTTAAGGACAGTGGTATGGTCAATGTAGTAAGGGTCAAGAATCCTTGCTTTGTGTCTCTATGTCTTACAGCAGACACAAACCAAGACAGCTGTGTTATGTCAACTCACAACCACTCCTGCCATAGTAAGATCAATGTTTAAAATACACACACAGATCTCAGGAAGCCCAGTAATGCTTCATTAAATGTTGACATTTCAAACCCAGACGCTCAGTAATTATATAATCCAAATACCACCTTCCTAAAAGTGTACAAAAATGCTTATCCTTTTCAGAAGTGTCTGAGGGGGTTGGTGGGTTGAACTAGATGACTTCCAGCTCAAACCATTCTGTGATTCTGTGAAGGAATAAATCAATTTTCAAATATTGCAGGCACAAGTTATTTCAGAAATGATATCACACTCAAATTATACATATGATATTCTTCCAAATTTACTCTTTAATCCAAAGTCCTAACCAATATGAGGAAGAAAAATTTCTGGAAGGCATTATTAAAAAATTACAGCGAAAAATATAAAACAAGATGTACAACAATCATCCCTGAGAGCCTACAGCATCACTATCACTGCTTACTTCTTGAATAAGAAGCATAATTCAGATTCAGATTCTGATTTTTAGTTTATTTCTATGACTGCTCTGTTCCACAGACTGTTCTACTACTCACCATTTTCTGATATTCTGTATAACCTCATTATCAGAGAACATGAGTACCTCAAAGTAGTTCAAGTACTGCATGTCTTTTTTTTCCCCTGATTCAACTTAAAAAAGGATTCTCCTTTCCAAAAAAATTACCTGTATTTAAAACTTGAAATATTCATTCAGAAGTATTATTTGCATAAAATAGCTACAAAACTCTTAACTGTTAAACAGAGTATTTAAAAAATAACTATCTTCTCTTATACAATATGTGGAAATAAGGTGACAAACTCATTTTGCAAAGCACCAGAAGATGTGTATAATTTTTCATGAGATTCCAATTATCAATCAAAACATTGCAAAAAAATTCTGATAACAGGTAATTATTATAAAAAAGGTAATACTTATTCGATACATAATTAGCAGCGGTATCTAACAGCTGCTTTTGATTCTGGATACGAGCAATCCAGTAGACTTATATTTTGTTTAAATCAGTTACGATGTTTGATCATCAGCTCTTAGCAGCCAAAGATTTATTTGTTTAATCTGTTCAGTAAGCATAAACTGAGAAGACCATATTTCCTTTTTCTTTTAATGTTCCAAACATTGCCAAATTCAACAATGGAAAATAGAAGATTCACTGATTTAGAAACTATTTACTGCTCCATCATCAATAAACATGTAATTATACGAAACTGAACAGTCTTATTTATAGCATCTACAGAAAAATAACCATTGACAGATCAAAATCTGTCACCTTTGAGTTATGATGCAATAGGTAGATTCTGGTCTTCAGCCCCACACAATAATTTAGAATAGACTATTAAATGTTTTATCAGTAACTAGGACTGTGAGGAGAACTTGGGAAGTAAATATTGACATACCTAAACATCAATCTAATCTAAGGATACATAATATGCAATAACGCAAATTTCACTGTAAAATGCCACAGAATCGTAAATACCCAGAAGATAAAAATGTGACTTCAAGAAACATTGCAACACACTCACAGCAGCATGTCTGGTACCATGGTCAGGTGATTTGGGGGTAGGGAAAAAGATTTAGAATAAAATTTTTTAAAATCCACCCCAGATCAGTAAGATAATAGGCTGAAAATCCTTAAGTTAAGTGCTGCTTTGCCCTTATTTTCCTTTCAACTTACCCACTCCATGTTCTAAACCTCCTATTCATCTTGGCCTAATGGTACCGCAATACTCAACGTTTCCAGGGATCCTTTCAAAATACCCTCCCAGATCTAAGGCACAAACTGATGACATCTGACAGCTTCTCTTTCCTCTTTCTTAAGATAAAGAAAAATGGTATTTTATGTCAAAAATCACAAATTATGGTGTATTTCTCAAATATCTATTTCCATCTATGGCCCAAATTCAAAGGAGATGGTGTGATTTTTATCAGTCAACAAGGAAAATAAGACACTGTGCACAAATACTCACTGTAATGTTATCCAAGAGTTTGGCCATGTGCTTGATAATTTCACCATGGTGTGCTGGCTGGGTTTGCAGCAGTTTCTTAATGACAACAACACTTTCAGCAACTACAATTTCTGTTTAAGACAAAACAAATTATTAATTTTAAAAGCATTTATGCAAAATAAAAAGCCTTAAATAACTAGTTGTAAAAGTCATTATCAGCTTTCAAAATATGCTTTGCAGAACTGAATTCCATTTATTTAGTAACAAAGATGTAAACTACTCTACTAAGTAATGTAAGTTCAGCTTCCAGAATCAAGTTATAAGCAGCAAAAACAAGGCAGAGAAATGTTCTAAATGTAAAAATGTCATCCTATTACATAATTTTTTTTGAATTGCCTTTCAGTGAAGCTGCACTTTGTACTTTTCCTTTTCAAACTGAGGAACACCATGAAAAAGCATCTGTTTTTCATTGAAATTATGCATATTCATAAACAACTTGCTATCTGAATCAAAAATACAAACACTTGTTTACTTCTCAAAGAAATATACTATGTTAAAAGTAAAATCCCACTCATAAACAAAAGAAATATCTAAATATTGCCCTTGCACTTTTTCACATTCTAAACAGTCTCTCTCAAGTCTGCAACCTAATCTCTAGTACGTTGAAATGAAGCTTCTAAATAGCAAGCTGTTGTAAGATTTATGCCAAAGTCATACACTGGAATGCTTAACTACTATAACAAGTAACGTTCCCAGTCTGATCAACTTGTATGTAATGTACAATTTTTGAAGCTGGAAAAAACCCAGTGGTGTGGAGGTAAGCTCATGCTGTAAGGAAAGTCAAACACGGCCAAAGCCAAAATGAAAACAAAGACTACTGTAAGAGTTCAACATAGTTCTAATTTTCATTTATACTACAAAAAGGGAGTAACTATTTCTTCTAAACTATCCATGTTTAAAACAAAGAAAAAGCCTAACTACCATTCCTTGAACATCACAGAGCTATTCCTACATTTCAAGAGTTAATCTGACAATGGACCATTCATTCAATCAAGCAAGCTGAAGTTTCAAAAGAACAGTATGGGGAAGAGATCTCTAGATTTTTTATAATCTTCCTTTTTTTAGAAAGCAAAGTTCTTTATGCAGAAAGGCTTTTCAAAAGCTCTGAGTATGCATCAGTATGCCATAAGCCTCTGAAATATTTAAATTTTAGCTTGCAGCTTTTTGTGTCATCCTTTATTTGACATGACATCTCAGTCATTCTTCTACACTAATTTCTTGAAGAAAGGTTAATGAGTCTACATCCCATACCTCTAGGTCTTTCACAATCGTACACATCAATTTAATTTAGATTGTGTTTTGCCAGATACTAAAACAAGAAGACAATTCTCAAACTTTTAAAATTACAATCTGGAATATTTACAGTGGGGACATTGTAATGACAACCTTCATCATTGAGTGTTTTGTGATACTACTTAACAAGGAGAATGATTAAGCAAAATAAAACTGAACCCAAAAAACTGAGTGGACATGAAGTCATTCTTAAAAACACTTGTTGACAATGTAGAACTGATCATGGTAAAATGAAGTGCAGTAGATGAAGTGTCACCATAGGAACTATTTTAATACAATCTGTGGGAGTAAATTTGAAGAACTGAACCAGAATTGTAAGCAAGTAAACTACTATGGTTCCTTTTACATGAGTCTAGATACCAAAAAAAGAAAGTAAAAACAAACCAAAATGATTTTATATTAGAATAAGGACTGACGAAGTCCAGAAAAAAAAGAGGCTCTTTAAGGCTTGTTTTGTGCACATGAAGAAGCCCTAAAACAAGCATGAAATAAAAGACACACATTTAGGTTCAAAGACAAAAGAAACAAACCCAAAACCAAAAAGGGGAGATAAAGCTCACATTCTGAATGAGCAATATGAAAATTTAAATATGTAACTCTGCTAGAATTATGAAAGAAAAAGTGCATACAAGGCAATGACAAATGAACGCAAGAATTTCAAAACAGAGTGTAAACTATATCTAAAAGTAAATAACAAATAAATCTAAAAAGCAAATCAAATTCTTAAAATGGAAGACTAAATATGACAGAAAATCTGATCAGGAGTGTCTTTACCAACAAAGGATTCCACAAGAGGTAACAGCAACTTCAACTTTCACAAGTCATTGTAAAAATCTTAGTATAATGTTCACTGCTAGTTTTCTTCAAACACATTTTGAAGCAATATGGAAACAACTGTTCTGAGCAGGATAATGACTGAAGACCCTTGAGCATGACAACTTTCCAGAAACTTAAAATATATTCAGTCATACAATCTTTCGTTTTGCCAAATAATGATGTAGTAACAATGTAGCAGAGAGTAACTTGTGGGGACTGAATTACAGACTTTTTCATAATTGAGAATTTGGCCACATTATAACAGAAACTCAGAAAAAGACCTTAGCAAGGAGCGTATTACCAAAAAATATTCAAAAGCACATTTGGAAATACTACATTTGCTACCATTGATGTTAAGTCAAATTTTCTTCCACTTACATTAAGTGTACACTTGAAGAAACTAAAACACACAACTGAAGACTAATTTGTCCACTACCTGCCTAATAAGGGAAAATTTATCCAATCTATCCAATCTAGAATTTGCATCTATTTCTAAAAGCAGCAAAACTGCATCAACTGTTTCTGGGAGGAATAGGCCAATTGAATCCCATAGCAAGGCTGTATGAGTGATTAAGTGCACCCTCAACAAATTTGCTGATGACACCAAGCTGAGTGGTGCAGTTGACACACCCAAGAGATGGGATGCCATCCAGAGTGACCTGGACAAGTCAAGAAGTGAGCTCATGTGAACCTCATGAGGTTCAGCAAGACCAAGTGCAAGGTCCTGCACCAGGGTTGGGGCAATCCCCAGTATCAATACATACTGGGGGATGAAGGGATCGAGAGCAGCCCTGCTGAGAACAACTTGGGGGTGTTGGTGGATGAAAAGCTGGACATGAGCCAGCAGTGTGCGCTCACAGCCCAGAAAGCCAACCATATCCTGGGCTGCATCAAAAGAAGCGTGGCCAGAAGGTCAAGGGAGTTGATTCTCCCCTTCTACTCCACTCTGCTGAGACCCCACCTGCAGTGCTGTCCAGCTCTGAAGTCCTCAGCACAGGAAAGATATGGACAGCGAGTCCAGAGGAGGGCCACAAAATGATCAGAGGTGGAACACCTCTCTTGTGGGAATAACCTGAGAGAGCTGGCGTTCAGCCAGGAGAAGAGAAGGCTCCAGGGAGACCTTATTGTAGCCTTTCAGTACTTAAAGGGGGCTTACAAGAAAGACAGGGATGGGTTTTTAGTACAATCTGTAGCAACAGGAAAAGGGGTAACGGCTTTAAACTAAAAGAGGGCAGATTCAGACTAGACACAAGGAAGAAATTTTTTACAATGAGGAGGGTGGAACACATTTGCCCAGAGAGGTGGTAGATACCCCATCCCTGGAAACATTCAAGGTCAGGCTGGACGAGGCTCTGAGCAACCTGATCTAGCTAAAGACGTCCCTGCTCACTGCAGGGGGGTTGGAGTAGGTGACCTTGAAAGGTCCCTTCCAACCCAAACTATTCTATGATTATTTGGGTTATTAGAAGATTGTGCAAATAGCTAAAAGTAAAGTTACAAGTCAATAATTAGAGCTAAGTATCCAGACAAACAGTAAGATTCAGCTTTTCAAAGCTGCCTGATATCTAAGCTTTCACCTGGTTAATTTTTACACCCTTACAACATAAATAACAGAACTCTGAAACCACATTAATACATATAAACTGAATGCTACAAGGAGTTGGTTTTCTTTTCCGTCATTCTAACAGTAATTCGAACAGATAGGTAGTAGTTACCTGACATATTAACAGTTCAAGTGATTTTATAACTTGCCTGTTCAAATTTGTATAGATTGGTAGGAAAAAAATTGTTTTCGCTATACTTCCTACAACTGTGTTTACATTCTCTATTATCCATAACCTGCAACTTTCAACAGAAAATGAAAGTCACCCATCTGAGGAAAACCTCCACGATCTGTTGTATATGCAGTACAGACAGACAAAAGAGACTTCCTATAATCCCATCTGTCTCTTATATCTAAAACCATTTTTATGTCATAGTGGGGCGAGCAGTCAGTTAAAATTATCAAGGCAATTGCTTAAAGGAAATGCATCAGTCAAATGCCAAATGTCACACTGAAAAGCCAAAATAACTTTTCTTTTTGTACTTCCTTCAGCAGACAAGCAAGGAAAATAATCTCAGCCCTTAACATGGCTTCCAGAAACAAGGCTCTGGGGAAGTCAAGAACTGCTCCTGACATTTTCTTTGCGTATTTATGAGTGCTTTGTCTGAAGCAAAATGTCCCCTACTCAGGGAAGCTGGGGGCTATGCTAAAAAACCCCATTTGAATCACAGAAGCACATACAGAAACTAGAAATTTCAACAATAAGACACTCAAAGAGCTCTGTAAAGAGTTATCCCAGCTGGACCTCACTGACTCCTGAAGAGACCATTTTGTGTTATGACACTCTGCCTCTCAGCACCCAAGTTCCTGAATGACTAATGGCACAGCTCCTGTGCCAGATACAGCCAAAATATCTTGGCTTTTGGGTTGTATATATAGTAAAGGCCTTTCCAGAAGAGAAGCATAGAATTAGAAGGCAGTTTTGCCACAAGCTTGTTCTTCAGGATTCTATTTTGATTTGGCAGAGTTAATTTGGTCACTTCTCATCTGCACTCAAATAAACTCCCCATAACAAGAAAACAGTGCAAAGAAAGCAGAACCACCTCTGCTTTCAGGGACCTCAGAACCTGCTGGACATCCTAGCCTGGGTTTCACACTATGCAAAGGCAGCAGAATGGCTTCCAGGCTTCCAAGAACCATGGAAGTAGCACAGCAAACAGACTGCTTGCGTACTTTAAGGGTGAAATTTGGAGGAAGGTAAGATTAACCAAGACTCTTAAATTTATTCTCCTACACATGTTAAATACCTTTTTTTCTCCCTTGCCATGCCCAAAACTCTTCTTATGTTCAGTAAGCTGTGACTATCGGTAATTTCCTGCCACCTGAGGAAAGGTACCATGTAAATTATGCCATTCTATTCACTCCTTGAAAGAAGGAATAAAGACACTGCAGCTATGGTAAAGCAATTTGCCAGCTGCCAGGTTTAAAAGATCCTCAATATATCCTTTGCAGTCTTTCAGAACAGTAAGCACAAGAAGATAATTTTATTTGCTAGACAACTGCTTGGAAACAGCCAAGAAAACTAATCTTGTTGAGACAGACCTTTGTATACATGCACATGCATATGCGTGTGTGTGTATATACATATATGGAATTACTTTGAAGAAAATATTAAATTGAGAAGCTATGATAAAAGAAAAAAAGCTGTTTCCTCTTATCGTGATTCCTTCTTAGCAAAAAGAAAAACAAAGCAAGAACATGGAAAGAAGGGTTATTAAGTAACAAACTCAGTATTCTGAAGTGATAGTTTCATTATTTTATTTAAGACAGGAAAAAAATGGGCATTTGAACACGCTGAAAGGAGTCTACTGATCTAGCAGAAGACTGGTAATAGAATTAACAATCTACTAACAACAGAATTAATTGAACAAGCTTTGAAGCTTGTAGTTTTTATATGGTCATTGCTGAATGTAATATAAAAAGGTGCACTGTGCAGACATGGCCTTGTAACACAACATGGGAAGATATTTTAAACAGTCGATGACCAGAAAAGCATAAAGGGACATAAGGTCTGGAGCACTAGAAAATTAAAACATATATTAAAACTACCAAGCTATACACTGAGGCCTCTCAGGAACTTCTGATACAAGAAGAACTGGAAGAGAAGGAGGACTCATAGTTCATAAACTAAGTAAGAGAAAGCTTTGAGTGTATCCTTGGGTCACAGGATGACTATGTGCTGCCGAAGTGATGTCCCTAATAAAGGCTTTCTTGGGATTGCCATGAAAAATATATCCAGTAGACATGGAGTTAATGCTGCTTTTCAAAGCTTAGAGTAGATCTCACTTGTATTCTCTGAACAATTCTAATTACTCCAGGCCACCCCAAAACCACTCTTTTCCTCCTTCCTGACACTGTTATGTTTAACTACATCTTACTATGTTTAACTACATCTTTCTTAACTCTATTTCCAATATTTAACCATATTCATGTAGACTGTACATTATATAATACTCTTCCAATTCTCTTACTGACTTCTGCACAATATTCATTGGTAACTGCTACGAATATACAAAATCATGTATTGATTTACAGTGCTGCTATATCTTATTTGACTTTATCTGCTCCTTGTTGTGTTCCTTAGTAACTTGCAGCTCCGTTTCACTATATAAAAATAACAGAAGGGTAGATTACAGAATCAAGCCAAATTTGGGGCCGTTTATCCTAGAGCTATTTAATATGTTTTTTCAGTTAGGCATTGAGACACTAAAAAAAAAAAAAAATTCCAAGCTTTCAGCACCCTCTACAGGCTAACCGTTTTGATGCAACCAAACATGTAACGGTAAAACTATTGTCATCTATGATAATCACAACAGCACGCTTAAATAATTATGTCATTTTGAGAAAAAACAGGTAAACATGTAATTTCAGGCCACAAGGAATTATTTTCACTAATAAAAGAGAAAACAAGTATCCAGTGATTATGAGAGCCATTTGAAGTGCTTCAAACAAGAAGAAGCACCAGAAGCACTATTTTTATCCAGTCATGTCATCTAAATTCTTACAAAAGTCAATTCCCACATACTTTTTAACACGATCTGCTCTGTGTGGTTCTCATTAAGAAAAGGTTTCATGCCATCAGCTACTTAGAAAACAAACAGAACACTTATCTTACCATCCCTGTTGGACAGCAAACATACGAGGCCGTTAAGGCATGTGTCAGTCACTTCGGTGATGTTAGTTGCGCATCTGCCTATAGCCTGAATTGTAGCTGCAGCAAACTGTTTATCTTGGCTTTTCACGTAAGTCTAAGGAAACAGGATTTTCATGAGTCAATATACGTCTTGTCAATCAAAGACTTACGATCATCCTCATAAGACAGACATACTGTATAATAAATTCAATCTAGAAAGCTACAAGTTATACTTTTTTCACTTCATTGTCATGTTTAGAAGACATTTTCTTGCCAACTTTGAACACCCATGGCTATGCAAACCTCTGATTTCAAGAAAGCTTGGGCAGGGGGCAATTATCCAAAAATAGCAATTAGTTTCTGTGCCAGGTGGAGGAGTTGATGAGCTCTCTCTTCAGAGGGGTTTCAGTTCATTTAACCAGGAGCATCTGTGAAACTGTGAATAACCTACCTGCCTGAGAACCCGTACCTTTCAGAGAAATCCAGCCAGAGAACTGAAGCAATGAAAACAGATGTCATAAGCAAAGAGGAAAGAAAGAAGGACAGACACTGTTTCACAATATAGGCAGAACATCTTGCTGATACATATTCAGATATTGGAGACAATAATATTTCATCAAATGACTTACAGAAATGAGGTTTGGCAACAAACGCCAACGGCCAAATATTCCTAAAATTGAGACTCTATCATCTAGTGACTTACACTGTCAATCAAGATGGTAGAATTTGTTTTAAAGAATTTGGAATGAGTTTTTCTCATCACTTTTTTTGTTTTGGTAGCTGGAAGGAGAGGGAGAAACAAAACATTGAAACTCCCTTCCACATATAAAAAGCTCCATTATCCATTATGATATGAGACAGTTTCACTTCCATTCCAAGAACATTTTATCCTGGAAAAGACTTGAACTTGAAAAATTTAAGACAAAGCACCTAGATGAAACAACGAGTAATTGCAATTGGCCAACAGAGAGCATTTCATATAAGAAGAATACATTTTTGCACAAACCTGAAATTCTCGAAGCAGAGTTGATATGTTGGCTTCATTTGCTAAATTTGTCAAGATTTCAAGCTACAAGAAAAAAACCCAGATATTTTACCAAAAGCTAAAATAAAACATTATAAACAGCACCACATATACATTATACTTTTATTGTATATGAATAAAAGATAATACTACTAAAAATACCACTTATAAGTCACTAGATTTCAATATAAACTGCTAGCAGCAATGCACTCAGGAGGAATATTCTACTTGCAAGTACACACGAGGTTTTCAAAGCCAGGACTCTAGGGTTCAGTGATGCATTTTCTATAAGCTATAGCTTTAGTGTTGCACTGCATATCAAATGGGCTCGAAATACTTCTGGCAGCATGTTTTCCAAAGTTATACAACAGCTCTTTGCATGTAAGAACCATGCGACACTGTTACGAAGAAACAGCGGAAATCACAGCTGCAGCTAGGGAGAAATAAAGCGTCTGTTATATTCAGATGAACTGCAATAAAAGAACTTTAAACTCAGGAGAGAAACAGTTGCATCTACAAGACTCCTCGGATCTTAAGCAACATCAATAGCATCAGACCCTGAAAGGCCTTGTCTTTGTTCCTGGTGAACAAGAGGATGGCATAAAACACTCGGCATATATTGTTAAGATGCTATGCTTCCAGGTTGTTTTAACTTTGAAGAAGAAAGAATTCCAATACAATCTGAACAAAGCAAACTGAAGAAAAAGACAACTCTCTCTCTGTAAAGGGAAGTCATGCCTCAGAAATCTGTTCTTATTTTTTGAGTTGGAGGCACACAGGCAAGGACATTCCATTGATACAGTCCACCTGTACCTCAGAAACAATTTGATAAGACCTGTCACCAAAGGCTCTTAAAGATATGTATCTAGCATAGCATACAAAGCAAGTGGATAAATGAAAGAGAGGAATAGGAGGGGAAAAAAGAGACTGTTTTACAGTACAGGAAGCCTATCAATGGAATCCCACAACTATCTTCATTAGTCTTTTGCTTTTCAACATATTCATATACGAACTATCAAAGTAATGAGAAAAGAGGTGACAAAGTTTTCAGCTGATACTACATAGTTTTCAGAGAAATGAAAGCAAAGGCTGACTAAGAAAAGTTGCATAAAATGTTAAAACATTAAGTGACTGGTTGATAAAATGGCAAAAAAAATTCAACACATAAATGTAACGTAATGTTCATGATTGAGGAAAAAACTTTACAGAAAATTATAGGCTCTGAGCTGATTACTACTAATAATAACTGAGAACTTGTGGTTAAAATAGATAACAATATGAAAATACAAGCTAAATGCTAAGCAGAGATGAAAAAAGCAAACTTGATGTTGGGAAAAAAAATAAGAACAAAACAGAAATCTAACCAGTGCAGCAGATGAATTCCTACATCTTAAATACTGCCATAGGTTTCATCTTCCTATCTTAAAGCAGACAGGATGGAATGACGGGGGTAGAGGGTGGAGAAAAGCACAAGATTTTCTTATGTATGTAACAGTGTAGGTTGTCCTAAATTTTTCAGCCACCAAGAAAGAACCGAGACAACGAAAGGAAAACCCACGATTTATACTCCTCTACCTCTTCACCATTGTATTATCAATCAATATGGGAATTTAAATATATCAACTTTCAATTGTTTCAGGAGTGAGTTTTCCTGGATAACACTAAGTCTTACTAGTATTCCTGAGAGTCTTCGTAATCATTAACCGTAGGAAAGGTCTTTTTGCCTCCAACTGCCTCAAATTTACTTAATTTAATTTCAGACTATTAAAAATATGTTAGGTTTGGCATAGCCATTTTGGACTGCACCACTCTGCACATGTAATGAGGGTGCACCATGGAGGTAAAATGAAAATAAGGAAAAAAAGAATGTTTCTTTAAGAAGCCTGTACATTCCACTCCTAAACACAAGTGCCTATGACAATCTAAAGAAGAGAAAAGGCAGATAATAGTAGATGATTTTTTAGCTATTGTTTTGTCAAGGATTTCATGTCTGTTAAAGACTAAGAATAGAGAAAACAAGACGACAGCCTAAAACATGCATTGAGACGTGGCCTTGAGGAAAGCCTAAAGTACTTCTCACGTTGAATGCTGACTTCAAAGGGAATTTAGGACCCTTAACACTGTCCTATTTCATTCAGGGAAACAGACTTAAACTGGTTTTAAGCTAATAGTATCAAAGACTGTGTGATTTCATTTCTTTTAATTTCAGAAGATTCTTCCTCCCATGAAAACAGTCAAACTCTAAATGTTTGAATGGCTGGTTAGATAAAAATAGTAATACTCTGTATCACTGAAAGGTACCAAAAGCTGTAGTGGAAAACATAGCCCATCTGCTATCTACAACATGGTAACAAGAGAACTTTCAGGAAGTCTGACAAGCCTGAAGGACACTTGTAGACTTAACTAAAAGCCACAACTCTACACTTCCTAGTGAAAAAAAAAAGAACAGCACAAAATGATGTGTCATACCACTGCAAGAAAATTTTACCTTCCTGTTGCAAACAGATTTGTCCAGCAGTATACAGACAAAATCACTCTTAAACTTACCTTCAGTGTTTTGATCATTGTTGGATCAGTTGATCTAACATAGAAACTCTTCAGATAAGGTTCAAACATGCCCTGAAAAGCAGAACATACGTAAGTAGCTCACCTGTGTCTCATATAAAATGTGATTTAGAAAATTCTAAATAGGGCGTACCTTTCTCTGAATTGACATAGTGGCAATATTTTGCAGAACAATATACTGCACTTCCCTAGAATTTGAAAAGAAAAACAAGAGTTATTCTGCAAAATTACAGACACATGGAATAATGCAACATGGTAAAGAAAGTCCTATTCTATTTGAACCCCAAGTTAGTTATACATTTGACTTGGCACAGACGTAGGAGAAAACTTATTGTTATTACTACAAGTAAGTTCATCATCTGCTTCGGAAGAAGATACATGATGAAAGCAGGCTCTCATTTTCAGAAACTTCAATATGCAAAAAAATCACAGACACCAGTTCAATGGTGCGATGCTTCTCGTAAGCTTTGTATCTTTGTTTAAAACAAAAATATGTTTAAAACATCATCATTCTGGCATCTGCAGAAAGAGCTCACAGAAACCTTACATTTTGCCCACCATCTTGAAACTTCAATATTTGATGATGACATAGATGAGAACAAAAACACATGGGCTTCATCTGTAGTGCGGAAATGACTGCGTTAGTTATAAGAACAGATAATCCTTGCAAAACTAGCAAGAATTGATATGACTTCTTTGGTCTTAAAAAAATTTACTAATAATTCTCAAAAGGGCCAGGGTCTCCTGGGACTTAAAGAGTACACACTGACAGGCATATGCATCAATCGAAAAGCAGCACTTTAACATAATAGACTTTGTCAAGATACAGACAACAGAACTATGTAATACTCTAAACTCAAAAACATTAAACATGTTTGGAGGACACTCTTATCATTAACGTATTAGTTTAAAAGCCTCAGCAGGAGTGAGCAAAAAGATATCTGGGTACTAGTCTAAAGTTTTTAAACTACAGAGTTTCCGCCACCAATTGCTTAAAAACTAAGTAATAAATTATATGCAATTTTTCTCAACCATGACTACTCAAATTCTTTCATGATGCAAATCACATCCTAATAGAGAAATCATCATATCCATTATCTCCTCTTATTCAACACTGTCTAATAGCCCTTTGGTAATTACAGCTGTTGCTTACAAAGAAAAGTAATAATAGAGAAGTAGTTAATATCTTTTAAACCTATTTTTATGCAATTCTTACATAGGTACATGGAAATAGTCAGCTGCACATGATGAAACAAGCCTGAAAATTGCTATGAAATGCTCTTCCAGGCACTCTCGCCCTAACTAGATTATAGCATATTTGACATTAATTTAAAGGCCATAGGCACATAACTTCAAGGGCAAACAGCAAAAGCTTATTTCAAAGTGGCTCTAATAGTAAAAGTGTTTCAAACAGACTGGTAACAGAGAATAGACAAGCCATTATCAGAAGACTAGAGCCATTTTAGGCACTAGTTAAGGTACAGGAAAGATGTGACTTCGCTTCTGATGAAATTTGAGTATAAATGAGCAATAGACAACATGCAAAAATAATCCTTTCTACCTGTGACCATGAGTGGAGTTCTATATGTTACCTGTACATAAGTCAAACTGCTTTAGCCATTTTACTTATCTTTGTATAAAGAGAATGGGAAGCATACTGTACTATAAAACCAAACAGAACAATAACAGTGATTCATTTTTATCTGAAATAAAAGCATGAATACGCTACCAAAAGTTCACTAACTTTTAAATGACAGAGACATTAGCCACAGGTGAGCTGCAGAAGTTTACAGAGAAAGAGCTCTACGGTGACTGGGCTTACAAAAGTTAAAGCCCATCTAAGACAAGTAATCCTGTCAGACACAAATAAATTATTTTTTTAAAAGCTTTTTGCCTGTTTGATGTGACCAACCTTAAAAAATAAGTCATTTTTACAGTGAAGTTCTAGCCAATAATACCATGTTTAGTTAGAAAGTTATTCTGAAAACACCTCCTATCACTCCTTCAAGGCTTTTCATACAGATACATGGAAGTTCAAAACCTAAAGACTGAAAGGAAAAAAAACCCACTTTTATGTAGAAAATATTGGCATAATATGCCAAAACTATCAGTCACAAAAAAAAAAAAACTACTATCAATCTTACGAAACATGTGGCCAGTGAGACCTTTCATAGAAAACTAGGCAAGGTCACATTGAAGATGACAGTCAAAATGACACACCCTGAATGAAAGATAAACTTGTTCTTCGAAAACAATCTAAGGCAACACAGGGGATTCAGCAGCATCAATTGGTATATTAACAAATGTTTCTTAGTTTCTCTGTCAACAAGAAGTCTTCAATGTAAAATGCAAGAAAAGAAAATACACATCTGAAGACTTCTTTAGTGCCTAGCAAGACAGTAAGGAACTTCAATATAATTAAATTTCCAATGACTTCCAGTAATTAAAAAAAAATCAAGAAACGAAGCAAACTAGTTAGTACTGCCTCTATTTGTATGCTAACTATGCAGCCACAGTTCTTCTCAGAATGAAAGTCATAATTAAGAATTAAACACTTACAGTACTGAATGATCATTGGACATGATACTGAAAATGATGGAATTACTTTTAATGATCCTCATTGGTTGAGTAAAAATAACATTACAGGACAATTTTACAACGAAACCCTAATAGTGCAATAGTTACATTCTTACAACTATGGCTAAACAAGTACATATGAAAATCTCCCACAAAAAAGTAGACTAGCAACGTAAAGTATGGATTTGACCTACCTATTACTACGCAGTAAACGTACCAATGACTTGGAAACAATACCAGCTTCGGATTTTGGTGCCAAATGCCAGTAAAGCTGTGCAACTGCCATTACCACCTCAAAGAAGAACATTCAGAACAGCATGTTAACTTCAAATAGTCATACATATCTATCACATCTGCTTCACACCTGCAGAACTACCAACTCCTCTTTAGAAAGCAAAGTGCATACCCATATTCTTCAAACTCAACAAAGCAGGTTGGGGAAAAAATCAGAAGAAAGGTATTTTTATTTCTAAAATCAAAGCTAATTAAGTACCTCTCATTCCTCCCAGAATTTATTGTATACTATAATATGTAGAAAGATAGAGGAAGAGGGACAAAGACAGAAAAAAAGTAAGTAATTCAAATTCTAAATGTACTGATATCATCCTTAGTAAGTCAGTATTGCTAACATCAGCTGTACAAATTAACGAGGAAATACCATTTAAAACTTATGCAAATTTTGTGCTTTTACTTTTAGCAAATACAGGTTTAATATTACCTATTATTTAGTTTCCACTTAAAATATTTCATTCCATTGTTCTATTATTTATAAAATGACAGCTGTCTTAACTGGCAACTTCTACTCTCAAATCCAACAGAAACTTAGAACTACAGGGCTGTATACCAACCTCCTGGCTAGTAGAAAGCAAAAGACTGAGATATAAGCAACTTAAAACCTGTACTTTTTTTTTGTTTCTTTTCAAGTTTTTTCATAAGTAAAAGACAAATAGTGAACTTCATGCTAATAGTTCCCTGCAATATTGTAATGGTCAACTTTCTGTTCAAAACGAAACAAATCATAGAAAGACGACTCCAAGTAAAGCCACTATTAGGACACTTGACTTGGTATCTTCAAACTTAGTACCAATGAAACAAAAAAATATTATTAAATAATAGGAAGTGATTAAAACCATCTGAAAATAGGAAATAAGTGGAAGATTTTAAGCAATATATTGCAGGGATTTTTTTATTTCTGACAAAAATCTAAGGTCAAGGAGAATGCAATTAATTTAATTTCTGGTAAATTCTGTGAATGGTGCAAAAATTGGTGTAATAGCAATTCAAAGAAGCATGATTTCACTTGAACCGCCCTTAAACATCTCAGTTAACTTTGATATCAGAAAGTTAAAGATCATAAATGTGAGAATCAACACCATATTTAACAGATATAAAGAAATGATTTATGAAATGTGGAAGATAAGCAACTGAACCTGTTCTCAGTGCAGTGCAACGGCAAACATATCTAACACACTTTTTCTTGCGTGAGACGAGGAAATATTGCATAGATACTGAACACTGACTTTAGCAAAAGGCCATGCTCTAACAGAATTATAAGCATTATTAATGTAAAATTGTATTCAATTTGTTTCTAGTCTGCTGGCAGATCATAAGTGGTTATGAAAAGAGTTAGACAGAATCTAGAAATATGTTCCAGGGGAGAAACAAAAACCTGATCTGTTCAGCTTACCAAGAACAAGTTTGGAGGCAACTTAACCTGGTACAGTAATTGTTTTTACAATGATATGAATATTCATTACCACTGGAAGTCTTTTCCTGAAGACATCTAGTTTTGATTAACAGGACAAACTGAGGTTAGAAATAAAGTTCTGTGATCTAAGTATGTGCAATGATTCACCACCAGCATGGCCTTTTCTGGTTCTAAAAATTTACCTGCATCTTAAAATGTCATGAAAATATTGCAGAGCATGCTCTACTCATGATGTCTTATCTATCCTGGGACCCTGCCTAGGCATCAACACTAAGAATCTGGCTTTGATTGACAAAGAATTTAGGTGTACAATTGTCTGCTTTTAAAATGTGAGACTCAAAGGAAAGCACAACTTAATGAATCAATAACAATCATGATTTTCTTTGAGAACCTGTACCACCCAAACTGACAGTTTGTGCCATCCTAGTTGCTGAGAACTTTAGCATTAAAAGCTAGCTATAGTATAGTCATCACATACCACAGATGCTGGATTCAAACGTTCTTGTATTTTCTCTAATATTTTGTGTGTCCTTAATAGTTGGAGTATATATCACATTCGGTTCAGGTGTTCTATTTAGAAGCTAAGATAATTTCAAAAAACAAAGAACCACCATACTTCTGTAAGTTTAATTAGAGAGTATTATCACCACTTTTCAGAGGTGTAGATTTTACTTTTCAATCTTTAAAATTTTCTGGAAGCATAGATACTTAGCAGTTTAACATTTTAATCAAAAAGACATTTGTCATACAGCAGCATTTCGGCTTTGAAGCAAAGGCTTTGTATTTCGTAACAGCAGTCTGTGATCTGGGTCCATAGTGTAGATGTTTTTCACTTTCTGATCCTTTTCTTTCTGTTCTTCATCAGATTCATAGAAATTATTTTCACTATATTCTTCCACCACCTCATCTTCCTACCAAAAGACAAAATGACAAAAACATACACAGATTATTTGAATCAACAGGTTTTATTCATTAAGGAAGTAACATACAATTTTATGCAAGATTTACACACTTTTCTAAAAATAGCTATCAGCTCTTCTGCCCCATCTTTGTGGCAGTCACCCTTCTAAACTAAAAACTAGGGATGCTAAACCAAAAGTACTGGTAACCAAATTCCTCCCCTTGTCTACAGGACAGGCAACGTGAAAGCAAAATTTCTGATCCCAGTGCATCTCAACCTTGAGCTGAACAAGCTTCCTCTAACAGAAAGAAAATAAATCAGTCTTCATCGATTCAGTCTTTGGTATCCCTGCCTTGACTGCTAACAGGCACGCACATCAGTACTACCGAACTCAACAGGAATACAAAGTCACAAATTGTATTTAACTCATTAACCACTGGTGTAAAGAAACAGCTTGAACTCTCACATTTCTGACTTTTTAAAGAACTGTTGGTTAGAAACATTGTTGGAGCAGAGTTCCAAATATTTATAAAGCAACTTATGCCTCAAATGAAAACATTTCTAATTCAAATCCTGTTAGAGTCTTTATATTGAATCACTTTCTTCATATCCCCATAGAAGAAGTATTAATGTGGTTTTTTCTTGTAGTCATGTATTTTATTGCAACCTTAACTATTCCTCTTCTCTCAAATCTGTTGAGATGTGGTATGAAATAATTATGTTCCAGACAAAGGATGATGATGACACACAGGGAAATAGGTTTAATAAACAGAAATTCATTAAAACCATTAAAATAGGTTTAATAAACGGAAATTCAATAACATTTAATAATTAAAAAATTAAAATGTCAAATTAATCCGAATTTGTAGTCACAGGGACCTTAGTAAGACAAAGAGAATACGTAATACTGCAAGATTTGCGCATTACCACAAAAAGGAAAGGAAAGTATTACATAAAAGACCCAGGAGATTGAAAGACAAAACCCTGCAGACTTCTTGGTGTGCAGGAATGGTTGTTTCAAATTCTATTAACCACCCCAGACATGAAGAACAGTTACCAGGAAATGCAAAAACGTTCAATCACTTACTTGCCACCACTTAAGCCTCAACCTGAGCTGCTGACTAAACTCACTGCCCAAAAAAGACAACATTCTGCTCCCTGTCCCTGTCTTCCAGCTCAGGGGGCTGAGTATGCTGAGAACAACTGGTCTTACCATTAAAGACTGAGGCAAAGAAGGCATTAAGTACCTCAGGCTTTTCCTCATCCTTGGTCACTAAGTTTCCCCCTTGAATCCAAGAAAGGATGGAGATTCTCCTTAGCCCTCTTTTTGCTGCTAATGTATTTATAAAAACTTTTGTCTTTTACAGCAACAGCTAGATTAAGTTCTAGTTAGGCCTTGCCCCTCCCTAATTCTCTCTCTGCATAATGTCATCACATCCTTGTAGGCCTCCTGGATTGCCTGCCTCTTCTTCCAAAGGTGATAAACTCTCTTTTTGCCCGAGTTCTAGCCAAAGCTCTCTGTTCAGCCAGGCTGGGCTTCCTCCCCACCAGCTTGTCTTTCAGCACATGGGGACAGCCTGCTCCTGCACCTTTAACACTTCCTTCTTGAAGAATGTCCAGCCTTCCTGGACTCCTTTGCCCTTCAGGACTGTGTCCCAAAGGATTGTCAACCAGACTCCTAAACAGGGCAAAGTCTGCCCTCTGGAAGTCCAGGGTAGCAGTTCTGCTGACCACCCCTCCTTACTTCCCCCAGAATGAAAATCTTTATTATTTCATGCTCATTGTGCCCAAGATGGCCTCCAACCATCACGTCACCCGCAAGTCCCTCTCTATTCACAAGCAACAGGTCCAGCAGGGCGCCTTCCCTCACTGGCTCACTCACCAGCTGTGTCAGGAAGTTATCTTCCACACACTCCAGGAACCTCCTGGATTGTTTCCTCTCTGCTGTATTGTATTTCCAGCAGCCGTCTTGTAAGTTGAAGATCCTCATGAGAACAAGGGTAGTGATTGTGAGACTTCTACCAGCTGCTTATAGAATATTTCATCTGCCTCTTCAGACTTTTTCTTAACTCTGCATTTACCTGAGTAACCAGGTAAATGTAACAGTAACCCTGTTTTGGCACGCACCAAGCTACTTTTATAATTTCTATCACAGACTAGCCTTATTTCTTGATAGCACAGAGTACCAAATATTCTGTTTAGTAGTTTGGGGCCTAGGCAGAAAATCTGAAACTGAACCCTTCAAGCTGACTGAAGCACGATAAATTACAGTGAAGAATTCAGACCATCAAGCTAAAACCTCATCTTAAAGACCTAGCTGAATTGTTGCTCTGTCCCCAGATGAACTTTGTCGGGCAAGTATTGAAGCTTGTACGAAAGGAAGAGCCTGGGGACAACTATTATTTCTCTTCTGAATTGGCATCGAGTTAGCTTCAAGGTGGCAAACAAAACCGAAGCCTCATGGTATCGTAACAAAGGGGGAAAGCCTTGTGCAGAGCTCTAAGCAAGAGGCTCCATGCTCAGCAACTGAGCTAATGGTGTCCAGGATAAGAACAGCAACGAGAACAGCATACCCTTTATACCAGGTCTACATCTTGGGCTCCAACAAGCAAAGAAAGTATGAATTTGGCATACTGAAGAAAACAGCACTGCTAACACTCTCTAATATTTTCATAGCCAGCACAGCACTGAAAATAAGACTCTTGCCTATGGGAGATCAAAGTCTTCCTGGTTTTAAAGTTGAATCAAAAACTGCCAGCTTCCACAGATAGTGTCTTGCACATTTGTTCTCCAATCAATCCTCAGTATCCATATTGCATGTACACTAAGCTGTGGGAGACGCTTCTTCACACGTCCTTAAAGAAATACCAGATATTTGTGGCACTCAAATTTTACTTTCCCAGATTTCTAATTAGAGCTCAAATTGATGGTAATTAATTGGAAGCTCTATTGGAAAAAGACCCAAAACTCTGATCCTTTCTGATAAGGGATAGACAGCATTAGAGTTCAGAGAGTAGATTCAAATGTTCCCATGTTTTCTCTTGTCCTTTCAATCACTTTAGATGCAGCATCACAGTTGATTAAAGAATAATCATGCCATTAAAAGTTTGTTGTTATTTTGTTTGTTTGTTTTCTAAAAGTTTGTTTTATTTTCACCAGGATCAGTAAAGTGATCTCACTGTGTGGTCACAGGATCACTAGAACTGCTGAATTTTCAAAAGCAGCAGGTGGTAAAGAGAGAAGGACAGAACAGAGGCATTCCCTTTCAGTGGCAGTCTTTAGTTAAACTGCATTAAATACACCTAACAGTTTGTAGTAGCACATGATTTAATTGTGCAGGTTAATAGATTTCCTGTATTGCAAAATCACTAAAAAGTTCAGAACACTGGGAGAGTGAAGTGATTAAAAACTGAGAGAGACCACTAGCATTCCAGGCTAAGAATTGCAAATGGACTCTGTGCATTCCCCATCTTCTGTGATTTACTCAATACAGTAGAGAAGTGAGTATTTTAGTGTGAAAGAACATGTGTAATTCTTTTTTACATTATTCCAGACACACAGTTTAGGGAATCTCCATAAAGTATTAACAGTATTAAATGAAGAAACTGCAGATAAGTTTCACTAGCCTGTTTTTAAAGTCACTAAGTAAACGAGCTAACATTTAACTGAGAACTTGCTTGAAATTACATTTAATATGGCATTAAAGTTGAGAATGTGCCCTCCACTTAGGGTAAAGCACATTACGTGAATGCTACAATTACCTCCAAACAGAGCTTCACACATCCACAAACTCAAGAGTTAAAGTACAACTTCACCAAAATCCAAAGCATGAATACATACTATTTGCCCACTCTACCAGCCTTAACTCCATCTTGTATTAAAAAGTGATTCAAGTATTTGTATTCCTCAGTTAGGTATAACTGATTTTAAAGCAACAGACTTCAGTTTCTCTCCTCAGATTCATAAGGCAATAGTGTCACAGTGTTTTTGATTCCTGCAGCAGAATCTCTGGCAGATAAGATTTTAGCTATCTTCCAAAGCCCTTGCTAATACTTCTAAGAACTGCTCTCAAAAGAGTTTTGGATAAGCTAAGTTTTGAAGGCAAGAAGAGTTCTGGGATATTCATTACTAAGTGAATTTGACTGCAATAGCAAAACCACCTTAGCCAACAAGGATCAGCAATCGACTTGCTGTATCACGAACGGCATTCTTGAAAAAGGGCAATGGTAGAAAATGTATAGAATATTTTCCCACTTAAAGAATATATGAGGTATCCAAGACAGATCTGAAATTTTGATGTTGTGTGTGAAGATGCCTGCCTAAATCCCTCCAAATGCTTCACAGACGGGTTTCAGAACACTAGAACAGACCTATCTTTAGTCTATCACAGCAAACCAAAGATTATTCTCAAGACTGCCCAAAAAGCCAAGGAGACGAGCTGTGACAAGTTTCTGACAGAAAAGCAGACTGCAACCAATCACACGTGTTAATATGGCACATGTGTTAATAATCACATGCTGGCAGAAGTATCCATCCTCTCCACAACAGGAAGTCCTTGAATAAGATACAAGTATGTCAGTATAGGTAAAGCTTGACACGAAGAATTGCTAGTGGTCTAAAAAAAGGCACATGGTAAAAATATGAGATGTGAAACTGTAAGTGACAACCTGCAGCCTGGCTGGAGAAAGGCCTTAGAAGGCACAAAGCTAAGTTTGCCACAGAGATCATCAGGTACTAACTGAATGAGAGCAATTTTATAACTTTTGTCTTATTAAGCCAAAGGGAGTTGAAGAGTCAAAGAATACAGGGACCAGATCAACCACTTCATAAATAACTGCTTCCTTTCAAGTACTAACCAACCATCAAAGTAGACTCAGTCTTTCTTGGGTAGGCTGCCATTATAACCAGTGTGATAGACTTGTGCTACTGTAAATGGACTAACAGGATCTAGTAATGATCTGATGAAGTGCTCTGATGGCCATGTGAAAGTCGGGGAGTATTTCAAGTGCC